CGACTCATCAACTCATGAACCGGGGACCAACGGCTTTACTTCCCTTCCGAAGGAAGGCGTGATCAGAGATGTTATGCCTCAGAACATCCTGGTGGCGCCGACTGGGATTGAACGCAGGCCTGCTGGAGTGACAGGCTATCACGCTTACCACTACACCACCGGCACCGCTATCAACATCTCGATGTACGTATGAAATTAGTACACGGATAAAAGTTTTCATGTAGTTTCCATTGGGAATGAACATTACATTTTTCCATTAACAAAACCGATGATATCTATCTCAATTTCACATAACAATTCACATATGAATTCTATATGATAAATCACTTTAATTTCATTTGACACAAAATGTTCATGAGATTATGATATCACATGAAAGTTATGTGAAATTCTTATTGATATTTTCCATTGGATATGTGATTTATTCTTTGAGCGTGTACTTCTAATATGAGTAAATTTTTCGTCGATTTTTGTCATATTCGAGAAAATTTATGAGGCTCAGAAAATTTTACTCATTTTACAAGTAAACTACGTTTTCTAGAGTTTGAGTAATTTAATCTTAAATTTGAGTACTGGTTCTTTTGCACGCTAGCAGTGGGGGAACGAGCACATCTTAGTGAGAGATTCAACTTTTCACCACCTAAATATGGAGAAATTGACACAATAAAAGGAGCAATTAAGATGTTTATTAGTACAATTCTAAACACTTCGTGAAAAAAAATTGTTGATGAATCAGGATCAGGGTTGCTGGAACTCAACATATCAATTAAATTTTGCAAAATAATTACAGGACAAGGCTTTTGTGATTGTTGCATGTTCAAACTCTGGAAGCAACGATATTTGCCCGGAGATTTGGCAACAGAATTGATGGCCAAACGTGACCAAACGATAGGTGCCATAGATGCTGATCTTCACCGGATGCCTGAGATTGTGGAAGTCTGTTGAGGTAGTGATGGAAATCAGTAATGACCTTGGAGATATCGGAGGATTCCCATTCGTGACATATGCGTTTCCGTACTTCCTGTAATGTGTGTAATGCTCTATACTATCACCTCAAAATTGCAACAGCACAGCTGACACAAAATAGACAACAAAGAAACATTTGATGTAGCAGACATAGAGTTCCAACCCAAGTAACAACTTGGGTTTTATGAAGGTTCTGTAGACCATGATTTGGACTTGTAGAATGCTTTAAAACCTTGATAAAACTTGCAATGCTACTTGGAAACTTCATGAGTGATATCACAACTGTGTTCGAAATTTGTTCTCTAGAACATTTGAAGTGGTAGGGCATTTCACCCATCATCAGGCAATTTGTGTACTCTTCAAGGAATCATCATAAATGGTTTTTGAACATACGATTTTCGAACAGATTTATCAACCAACAATACTAAAGAGTGGATCAGTAAACATGTAATGACATTATCTTGCAAACTGAAGCACGCCTACAAATTCCACCATCGAATAGGAGAAAATTTTCCCTAGCCGACGGTGTTGTTGATTTGGCAAGGTGAGCTTCGATTGGCGAGAAAAGATCATTACAAGATTTGATTACAAAAGCTGATCCGTCCTTTTGAATTGTTGGTTGACGACGTTCCTTTTTTATAAACAAACGGGCGTCATCGTTACCTGTCATGATACTTATAGAGATGTGACCCGATATAAGAAATATGACCGATAAAAATCAATAATATTTGTTTTTAGATATATAAGCACGATTATATCGGATGAATCCGATGAAATAGATTTCTCCAACTATAAATCGAAAATCAAACTTTAGAGTAATTTTTAACAAATTTTGAATAAATCTTGGACTTTCATCCCCCTCTATTTCATTAACTTTTTTCAATTACAGTGTCTATATAAATATGTCTTTATATGTAATTTGATTGAAGATGTAAAACAGTGTAACATAATAAATTTTAAATTTTTAATTTACATTAAATATCGCAGTCTTAAAGATTCTTAAATCAACAAAATTTTATTTATTTTTTTATCGGATCTCAATTATTTAAATTTCAAAATTTATTCCTTCTGTTTTAAAAATTCGTGTTTCTGGCACTTCGTGAAATTTCTATGATATTTAAAATATTGGAGACTTAGAGTGCAGTTTCGAACCCCTTTGGATACGGTTGTGTTTTAAGTTTGTTCTCTGTTTTGTGCGTGCGTTCGCTTTCATAGTTTTCGGCTGCATTTGCCGGATTAGTATAGCAGACGTGCCTCCCGGACGGTTATAAGTGTGTGATTGGTAGTTATCTAGTTTTCCGGGAAGTTATAGAACCGTTATAGATGTCGCAATCTGCGTTGTTTGATTGTTTCTCCCGGACCAGAAATAAGTGGCATCACGAGTGATAATTTTTAATTTCAATTTATTTACGCGCTGCAAGGTGCGTGAAAGAGCTCGACACGATCGGTGTTGATGTTGGCTCGATTGCAACTATTTTTGCAAAATAAAAAATCAAGTGTTTTCGAACAAAATTGATATCGAAAGTGTATCAAAAGTGCTTCTGAACGTGTTTCGCAGTTGAATGTGGTGAAATTCGTGAACTCGCGGCTGTTTTCAGTGAAAATTCCGTTTCACAAAATTGCTCACCGAGTTCCCTTTTTTGCCGTTCGAAGACGACGGGTTTGCAAGAGAAAAATAAGCATCGGGAATGTGCTCCCGGATGTATTGATTTGGTGAGTACGTTCCAGTTGAAGATTGTTCTAATACATATACATTTCTCAATTGCATTTTCGAGGGGACGTCCGGAGAGCTTTGAGATTTGGGCGTTGTTGCTTTTTCGGGCAGACGCGCTGGTTGCCGGTAAGGGCCAACAAGCGCTGCCAGCAGATGCATCAAGAGGTATTCGAAACAAAATTGGTAAGAAATGTCCATTCAAATCGATTTAATACAGGTGAACAAATTTCAAAACTATATCCAGAACAACATGTGAAAAGGGCATACAAGCTTTTTGTAAACAAACATTTGTAGGCCCTTTTCTCACCAACCGAGGGTCGCCCACGCAAACCAGCAATATCATCGGGAAGGGGAAAGTGTCCCCTACCCGGTGATGTTAAAGGTTTGCGTTGGTGTCATATGGGTGGCGAGAAAAGGGCATAAGAAGGTTTGTTTACAAAAAGCTTGTATGCCCTTTTCACATGTTGTTCTGGATATAGGTACGTGCCAGATTTGGTAATAATATTTTTTTAATCTGGAAGTATGTTTATGATACCATTATCCATTTGATAAAGGTATAGTAAACATGTGGGGCTTATTGTAAGTAAAATTGACCTCGACCACTCGTGAATTACCAGGCATTCTGAAATGGGTCACCGGAGCTGCAATAGAGCTAACACCTTCTAACTCCCGGACTAAACCTACTTTAATTTAAGGGTAATATAAAGCAGTTTTCTTCCATAATAACTTCGCCGGACAGTGAAGGTTAGATTGAACAAATGGAGGGACCTTCAAATCCATTGATTTATAGACAAATATAAAGCAACAGAATATCGTGTTCTGGACAGTTGACTGTAAATGGTTTTCTCCTAGGTCTACCTTCAAACTAGGTTTTTGAGAGCGGGAGTCGATTATCCGAGGTTTCAATTATCCGGGGCTCCATTGCAATGCATGCATAATGGATCAATGATTATGTGAAAAATTGAAACCTCTACTGAATTCAAGTTTACTAGAAAAATATTGAATAATCTACCCATCCAAAAGTTATAAGATTTTTGTATTTTGATCTCAAATTATTTTTTTTGAAGCTCTATTACCCAGACAACCATCGTATAAAAATGAACAGACAGTATCGTAAATAACCACCGTTTATGTCATTTTCGTATATAAGTATGACATACTTCGCATTATGTTTAATTTAAGTCGTATAGAAACATAGTTGAAGATGATAATTTCAAATAACAGACTGTAGTGGTAATTTTTATACGATAGATGGAGTAGATGAAAGCATAGAGTTGATAGTTCCGTTAGAGTACGGCAGTGTGAAGATTGTATATAGATATTAGAATAGCGAACAAGGACAACTTTTAAGGAAGGTACAAATCGGTTTTTTCATCTCTTTTTACCAAACTCCCTCTTTGGAGAGGGATGGTGAGGGGTGTCCCCCCCCCGCCACCACTGGCGTATAGAAAGCAAATTTCCGACTTATATGCGATGAATCAATTCTCCATCGTACTGTAATAGAAATAAAATCTGATTACACCGTAAGTCTGTTCAAATTAAGTTTGTTATTACAGATTTAATCGTATATGTTGTAACATCAACACGTCTACAAAAAAAAAAAAAAATGCACGTACATGGCCTCCACTTTTGTAGGTATAAGCCCTTTTTTGCTTTCTTTACGATTTGTTTGTTTGTATATATGATTGTATATCACAGAAACAACTTTGAATATACGTACATTCTGGTTGTGTGGGTATGATCATGGATGAAGATTATAAGTATTCGAGTTTTATGATTGGTCTATATGATAGGTATTTCATGGTTTATATGTAACATCAGACGATAATGTATGGGAGACCCTTTTCATTATTGACTTCAAGTGGTGCAAAAGTACGAATGGCTTAGAATGGTTCAAATCGCTTCGATTTTGAAAAACACTACACCACCACTGGCGCCACTTTTGTGAAAAATTTAATAAAATACGCACTCCTTCCCCATCATTAAGGCAAAAATACGAAGGCGGAACCTTGTTACTTAATCAAATATTTAAGAAAAAAGTTAACTATAAGGGATTGTGCGACTATTGGGAAATCGGCTCACGGTTAAAACCTAAAATATGATTTTATGGTAATTTTAAAACTAAGTACTTACTTATGCGCCACTTTACACAACAAGTTTAGCCCAAGATATGCCAATGCACGTTTTTTGTATGTTACATTGAATACCTAAAGAACCTCAACATACGGTCACCTGTTTCAAACGACGGCTCAATATTTGCGGTTGAAAGATTCAACATTACCAAACGCTGAAAAAAGTTTTGCATCACTCAGGTACTCACCCTAACGTTGTCATCGTGACAATTGTATACCAAAACGCCGCCGGGATGGAGGTGAAGTTCGTACCGTCCACGTTCTTCTCGGCGTAGAACATCACCGTGGCGAAGATGATGATGGCCATCGCGAGGGAAAACACCAAGAAGCCCAGCTCGGAGGCGCACGATTTCAGCGTGTAGCCGAGAATCCGCAGGCCTTGCGAATGGCGGGAGAACTTGAAGATTCGGAACACTCGGAATACTCGCAACGTTACGAACGCACCGGATACGTCGTCGTTGTCGGTGATTCCCAGACCGATGTAGTAGGGCAGGATGGCTACGACATCGATTATACTCATAACACTCCGAACGAATTTGCACCGGCACGGGGCGGCAAATAACCGCAGCAGGTATTCGGCGGTGAAGATCATCACACAGGCCGTATCCAAACAGAAGAATACGATCTTGTACCGCTCGCCACAGGAGAGCGTTCCGGCGCGGCCTGGCCGTAAGCCGCACGGGACCGTCTCGACGACGTTGGCCATCACAGATACAGCAATGAAGAAGCCCGTAACATAGTAGAACACGAGGGCGGCAGTGGAAGTATGCGGATTCTCGAATGCTCGCCACATCCGTTCCCTGATGTTGGTTAGCTGTATTAGATTTGTATCACTATTTTCCGACAGCTTGTCATCCATCAGTCGTTCGGCGTTTTCTCGCTTTCGATCCCGGTAGTCTTCGTAACAGCAGTCTCCGATCACGTCCGGCATGATTCCGAAAAATGATAATTCCTCATCGTAGCTGAGCAAACACTCGTGCCGAGGGTAGTGCAGCTTCCCGGTTCGGTAGTAATTTAATATGTGCCTAAAAATGTCCGGATCACGGTCGAAAAAATACTCTTTGCTATGTTCGTCGTAGAAGAAGTCTCGTTCGTTTGATCCTAATAGTGTGTCTGGGTACTTCTCAACCGTTGTCCGCCAGGTCTCGAATCGTCGCCCGGAAACGTTGATAATTAATTTCTCATCTTCCGAACGTAGGCGATCCTTGAATACTGGGGGTGCTGGTAGTGGATGGGATGCTATAGGGACCCACCCGATGGCCGCCGCCCGTGCAAATGGCAACCAAGCGGCGACCGAAGCCATACTATTCGGTGGAATTTTTCAATGGTCCCCCAATAGAGCACGAGGAACGTCACGGTAATTGTATCCGCGCGCTCTGGAGTGAGGGAGAAGGTAAACCGGGGACGACTTTCTGAGGCCTGCTCTCACTGGTCCTTGGAGGTGACCTTTCCGCAATCCGTGCCGTCTAAGGACTGGTTGATGCTGCAGCGTTTGATTTAGTCGCTACCGCTTCTATTCGACATTCGTTTCTGTGGGTTCCCACCGAGGGAAAAAAAAACCCTCCGCGTGTCTGGTCACGTAAATCACCTTTTTCTTATAATTATTTTGCTCTTTTTCAGCCGAAATAAATTGCTCCCCTCATAAACGTCCCCGGAGGCTTTATCCGCGGGATGATAGGCTTCTGTCTGGCAAGCAAAAAATACCCAATTTCAAAGTACACGTCGAATATGGCGGAACAAATCTCGGCTTTGTGTTCACTAAAGCTCCTCCTAACTTTGCATGTTTTTCCTTTCGCTGTTCGCTGATGGTAATGGTTTTCCTCTAATTTTGGGCCAAGCAGATGGGAAATAATGAGAAGCGCAAAATCGACGGATTCTACATGCTTAGACTACATTTTCCATCTGTTTTCTTCCATGCGCCATGCTGGGTAGTGTTATGCTAATTTTGCTGCTCAATCCCCTCGAGGCCAGCCTAATCTGATCCTTCCGGCTGGTTCCGTTGATGCTGAGCAAAATTAAACCCAACGACGCCCTCACTATCCACACTGTCCTGAAGACCTTTGATCCAAACGACCTAAATGCTTCACGAGCTCATTAACATTATGATGGTATTGAAAATTATTTTCCGAGAAGCACTATCCTCCCACAACCATCAAGCTGATGTTAATGTAGCAGAAAACCATCCACTTTCACTCGATTGCTCGTTTTTTTTTCTTTTCTCTCTGAACTATGTGGCACTGCTGTGATGATTAATCACTTTCATTTTGATAAATTCACCATCCCATTTTCCGGCTTCCACCCACCGTGCACGCAAACACTTGATCTTCAATTTTTCACCATTTACTCTCTTTACGAGTTTTTCTCGATGGCACAAACAATGCTTGTTACCGAGAAGCCTTGGCCCGACGAGCCCTCATAATACTTGCTTTTTTCCAGCCACTTTCCCCGGGGGATAAACACACTTTCCCTTTGACTTCTTTCACACAGCCACACGCGCACACACACACACTGTTGCTGTCGCTGTTGGAATTATTTTTATTGCCCCCGAAATCCACCAGCAACGCACTAACGAGAGATAATTCCTCTCAATTTAAGCCGTCATAAGCTCTGCTTCGATTCCAAGTTTCAATTCCACAGCACGAGCGTATGGAAAAGTCCGTCCTTGGTTAGTACGACGATGTCATCGTCCCGGTCGTTCCGATGGTAGCATCGGCCACTTTCATCTCTTGGCACGGAATTTGAACACTCAGCAGTCTGGAAACGAGGGGAAAAGAGAAAAGGCAGAGTGCCATTAGTTTCATTTGTTATGGATCTGTTTGTTACTGTGTGCAAAATGGTTGACATATTTTAAACTTTTTATCACTGTGCTGGTCGGAGCACTTCATTAGAGTCCCATTCGGGTCGTTCCTGTGGAGACATCACTTTGGCCCTTAAATCACAGTTATCAATGGAAGCTTAAAGACAAATCGGTTGTTAACTTGAGTGCCTGCCTACACAGCAAAAAAATAATTTTGATATCACATCAAAGTGGATGCACTTCAATCGTGTCAAAAATATGGTGTAATATTACTTGCCAAAAAGGACAAAATTATCATTAATACAGTGCATGAACTGACATTACGCTGCTTTCACTGCATATATTTATTTGTGTGACCATAAAAATTTCATGAGGTTTTCGACATGATTGAAGCAAAGAAGAATACTAAGATGAAACTGTCGGAAGAAAAACATTCTATTTTAGTGTCCTCTTTCACGGTCCCTTTCATCCAATGAATTCCTTCCGTATGCAAGTAAAATTTGTGCTTTTGCTACCCCCTCGGTAGAGATGTAAGTTGGCGCACTTTTTTACCAAAACAATCACACCAAAATTAGAGATGTCCCATTTTTTCATTACTCGATTAACAACTAATCGATTATTTTTTGTTCGCTGTGCTGTCATTTTTCCAACAATGAGAATGCAGCACATGTTTGAAACGATCGGTGATGATCCTCTGGAGAAGTTAATGCTTATATCGGCATGATAGGGGAAATGTCTCTAATGTTGGCCTATGGATCTAAGATTGGGCCCATCGCTAAAAATCTGCTATTTATCAGTTTTATCTAGATGAACGCGTTGTTGGGACGTTGCTAATAGATATTTTTGGTTGCTATTGAAAATTTAGTCGATTGCTGAATTTATGTATGGGCCCAAATTAGGGACACTTAGGCCGACATTACCTGCATTTTCCCTATAACCAATAACAAATATGTTACTTTTCGGTTCGTTTCGATTAATCGATTATTCGAATGAAAATCAGCCATCGCTAGATGAATGCGAAACGTCATTTCAAATATTATGACCGTACATAAATAATGATACAATTTGAAATGGACCAGGGCTAATCACAAATTACGTCCCCACGGTAACTGAAATAAACACGAGTGTTGACCGGTTGATTGAAGTGCATCCTCTGGATGTAATATTAAAATCTATTTTTTGCTGTGTATGATCATAATATGATAATGTTTTTTTTTGTCTGTACCGCAATCACATTGCGTTAAATATATAGGATCATATGTTCTATCATAGTGCTATATTTTCCAACCAGAAATTATAACATCACCACTGTCAAAAAATAGTGATTCTAGTGACCATGTTGAAGAAATAAGTGACCAAGCTGTAAAAAAGTGACCTATGAGCAGAAAAGTAATTGTTATGATGGAACACCAAATAGATGTTTGAAGTTTTAGACTATTCAATTAGTATCTCATAAACACTTGATTTAACTTAAGTTCTCCCATACGGTTACCCAATTAAATTAGATTTTGTATTTTTAACGCAGGCACATGATTATACCTATCAATAAAGAAACCATACACAAGCTTTGTTGTTTCAAGATTATAATTGCTCTTTATCAAGACTCCTTTCTCTATCCACTCCCTAGCATTTCTAGTAAGTTTTGCTCTGATTCAATCATTTATGAGGTAACTTTCTTCAAAATTATCCCCATTACTATCATGCTTGTAAAAAATATTTCTCAAGAATAATGCCTTTGATTTAGCTTCTGGATCCACAAGGCAGAGTTCTCCTTTTAAATAAGCCACGTACAATTGATTCCTGTTCAGTTTAAAAATGAAGCTGTTCCAAATAAATTTCCCGCAGGTGGACTTTATCTGGCCTAAATGCCGATTTGAAGACGGAATACTTTGTGTGACATACCATAGTTTGGATAACACAAAGACATTCAAAACTATACTACGCTCAAAAATATCCAATAGACGAACATTGTGGATTTGTAGATTGCTTTAATACTGGAAACCAACCTCCCATAGTTTGAATCCACCATAGAACTCCAGCTCCTTTCAATACAAACTCCTAAAGTTTTGATACCATCAGCTTCCCCTATTTTTTGAGGTCCAATTCTAGCATTATTCAAACGAAGAGATTCTGACTTCTGCAAATTGAATGTGAGCAAACCAGCTGTAAGAATCAACAATTGAAAACAGACCATCAAATTCCAAATCATTCTTAATAAAAACAACTATATCATCAGCATAAGCAATCACACTGATGAACTTGTCATAGACAAGCTCACCAGGAATGCTGTCTGCAATTTGTCTTAACAAGGGCTCAATGTAAAGAGCAAAAAGCACCATGCTCATGGCATGGGGCATCCCTCACGGACAAAACTTTTAATTTTAATTTCTTGAGAAAGAAACCCATTAATCAAAGTTCGAGAGTAAATGTTTTTCATACAATCAGCAAAAGTTTGCGGGAACCCAAATTCCCCTTAAAATTTCCACAAGTAATCGTGATTTACTCTGTCAAAAGTCTTGTTAAGATCTAAGCTGAATAAGCATCCTTTAAACTTTTTAGTTTCACACGACCTCGTGACCAATCTTCTCACGTCTTTCAAGTTATTCACACATGAGATATTCGAAACACCCGCAGTTTGTCCAGGTCCTAGCAACTTACCAAGAAAATTCATAATTCTTCCAGCAATAAGCTTCATAAAAACTTTGTAGTCACAATTTAACAAACTAATGGTACGATAGGTAATATCACCTTCTGGAGAAAGGAGAAATTGTTCCAGCTAAATATGAATTAAAAATATAAACTAAATCATTTTTACAATTATCAAAGTTATACAAGTAAACTTCATATGGAAGCCCATCGGGCCCACGAGATCTTTTTTATTACAACAGAGAAGAACAGATCTTAATTCCTCTTCCGTTATCTCCTTCTTCAAATCAACACGATCGTCATCTGACAGAAACCTATTGATATGATTCGATGGATCATCGCCAGGCAAGGAGTCTGAAGTCGCTAATTCTGAGTGAAAAATCACAGAAACATTATAAAAAGCCAAGTTTTCAATATGTTTGGGGTCTGAAACTAAAATGATACCATTTAGAATTTTGATGTTGCCATTACTTTGAATTCGTTGAGTTGAATTGAGCTGCAACCTGAAAAATGTTCATCATTTCATCCTGCATACAACTGAAATCATCCAAATGGTTTCCTAAATGTTTCAACCTATCCTGCTCAATCTCCATCAACCGCTATGTGATGAACTTGATGTCTAAGAACGTTGGTTGCCCCGAACTTTCTTTATGCATCCACTCATTCATTTTCCCATATAATAGCTTTTCTCACTGTAGATACGGCTATTCAGAACAAACCTTTCTGTTTCATTTTATGCTTGGCTACCTCATTCCACCATCTGCTTCTATCGGAAAAATAGCGATCACGTGCCTTCCAACCCTCATATTCCTCGGCTAAACGCGCTCAAACAGAGCCATTTTTGGCTAATGCACTATAAACTTTCCAGTAGCCTCTTCCTACAGGAGAAACGATATCAGAGGCAGGGCTTGAAAGGGGATCGCATATCGACTGTGAATGCGTGATCGCGTTTTCTGCATTCAATGTGCGAAGCAAGCACGTTGGTTTGACTGACAAAATGGCGATTGTCGATTGCTTGTGTCTTGTGTGGTGTTTGCCGCAGCAGCTCGGTGGAAGCCGATTTTTCAATTCATTTATTCTCGCACAGTTTCACGCACCGTTCGTAAATTTTGACAACGGAAAAACCTACACGAAGCGTTGTCTACGTAGACACGAAGCGTTCGTTTCACCAATCCGCTCGGTTCGTTTGCACTTGTTCAACGCTTGGTTCGGTTACGTTCGCAACACGAGAACCGAACGAAGGGTGTGCAACTGTCATCTTTCGGTTCGGTTTATAGATGCTGAACGAATAGTGCGACAGTGCATCACAACCAAACGCAGGGTGCTCGTTTGTTGTTCGCTTTCGTTCCTAGTAACATCACTGCTTAAAAGCTACAATACTTCGAAAATTTCCAAGAATCTGCACTGTTTTAAAGGCTTGTAGGATTTTACTATAATTTTTTGGGGACCTCATTCCAAGGAAGTTCTGTGGAAAAACTCTTTTAGAAAAACATGAAATGTAATCTGCTTTCAACGTAGTTCTGAGCAATTTAAGATTTCATGTGAAACCTGATAGTTTTGAGTAGAACTTCAAGTAACCCTGTATTGAATTAAAAGTAAATTTCAATTTAAACTCTTAGGATTTTCTAAGAAGCACAACTCCTGTGAACTTCAGAAGAAAATTTCAAGGGCATTCTGAGGATAATTTCATAAAGATTTAGGGAGAAAACGAAACCGGGGCATAAGTCTTTGGCATTTTTTTGAAAATACTTAAAGGAAGATTACAATTAAATCTGAGAATATCTTCAGGACATCTTCAACGGAATTCGGGAAATAAATTCAGGAGAGTTTTCAAAGAAATTATGAGAAGTCATCGAAGGAATTTGTGAGGAAAAATGCAAATGAATTCTTAGGAGACTTTCAATGTGAGTAGAATTCCAAGGGATGGAGTGAGATTCAGAAGGAAATCTGAAATAATTCAATGACTATTCGGAGAATCTTTCCTAAGGGGAATTTCAGCGTAACTCCAAGGGAAATTTAAAGAAAATTGAATTCGGAGGATAGTTTCATCGATATTTTGAGAAATATTTCAATGGAAATACCCGTTGAATATGGAATGGACTATTCTGAGGTTTTAAGAACTACTTGAAAGTTTCCAAATTTTACAAGAAGTTAATGAAAGTGCCTTGAAGTTCTTTTGTAGATTGAGAAACTAGCCTGATACTCACAATACTTATCATCAAGTTCTCCCTGAATTTTATAGGACTTCCTAAAGTTTCCTAATTTTTTGTAATGATCATGGGTCTCTCCTAAAGGTTCATTAATTTGCTGA